TTCATTACATAAAACTTTAATTTACATACATTCTTTACACGGTGGAAGTCGTACGAGTTTGCAGCACATTAAGTTACTGTCAACATTCTGCACTGGACGCATTTTAGAACAGCTCACACTATTCGGAGCACGTGTGCTTGGGACAGGTGTCCATCTGCCTCTGCCTGCCGGGACCTTCCCCGGTTCCCTGAAGATGCGCGGCGGCTGTCCTGCCTACCTCCGCCCCCCGTCTGGTCCCCCGGCCTCAGTGTCTGTTGCTGCCTCTTCCACGGGAGGGAGCGGGGAGAGAGACCACAGCTAGCTTCTGAGGGTGAAACTGTAGCAAGAAGTTTGGAGGGGAAGTTGCCGGTCATGAGACTAGGGGTTCCTGGGAATGCCATGTGTCTGTCTGATGCTGTCACTGATTCTTGTGCATAAGTGGGAATTTGTTCCTAAGAGGGCCAAAAGTGCCCCAAGGGGCTGGAATTTGAAGGCTGGGACGCTGCTGGTCTTTGAGTAAAGGTGGCTTCCCAGGATGACTTCACCTACCCCACAGAGGTGTTGTGAGGAAATGAGGGAATCAAGCTTGGCACAGAGCTGAGGTCTGGACTCCCCAGATTCTGTCTGAAACTCTAGACTGGGTTCCCTTCTCTACACAGGTGTTTGCAGCTGGGGCTCACGGTTGGATTCATGCCGCCGACAGACGTGCTAAGTGCAAGAGAAACGGTCGGGTCAGCCCCAGGCCTCCACTAGGAGTTACATAACATTTCTTCTCTCCACTATTCTGAAAAGCTCTGGACATTTCCCAGTCTCCGGAGAGAGGAAGATGACAGATGTATTTAGCTCTAATGCTTAAATTATGCAGGGCAGGGAAACCAGACACTAAGGGACCTGGACATCAGACAAGCTGGCTGGAGGACCTCTCACCAAGGCCAGCACTGCGTCCAAGGGTGGGCCCGACTTGGGTGTGGCGCACAACAGGGAGAGCACCTGTCCATCTTCTTGGAGATGCTTTTGTGGAAGAAGCCGCTGGACATTGGGAGGCTGGGGGTGAGGAAGCCAGGGAGACGCACGCTGATGGCGACACAGCACACTCCCAGAGCCTCCTGTTTTTCCTTTGCTATGGGGCTATCTCTATAAGCACCGGCACTTTCCTAGCCTCCTGGCCCTGACACCATCAGCTCTGCGCATAATATGAACAGCTCCAAACATGGAGAGAATCTCAGTCTAGAATGCCATCTAAAGCACATCTGTGGCATGGCCTTCCTTTGACCAATTTTAGTGCGTGATGGGTCACCGCTGAAAGTTAATAAGCAAAGAGTTGTGAACTCAGGAGAGTTTCTCCCCCATCACTAGGAGAGCTCAAAGGCCTAAAAGACCCCTCCGATTAACAACGGATTCTCAAAAGGTAGCCAAGGTTGCCTCTCTCCATGCAACCAGACAGGCAGCTTTCTCTTTCCCCTATAACTTGGGCTTCTCCTGTGGGCAGGGATTAGATGAGAAGGGAACATGTGCTCTGGGGTTTTGAATGTTCATCGTGGAAGCCACTGGTTAAGAAGCAACTCATTCCTGACTATACTAGAATGACTGAGGCCGTCACCTGCAGCTAAGGAACTTTTGATTTTTATAAAAATAATTGTTCCTCCACAGAGGTCTATGCTGGAATTTGGAAGAAGGGAACAGAAACGAGAACTGAAAAACAAGTGAGGTAAACTCTAAGGGGACCCACAACTGGAATTGGGCAGAGTCCCTCTTCTGGTCACACATCTGGAAACATGTGGGGATGGGAAAATGGCTGGACACAGTTGTGTTCCAGCCACACTCACTCTTAAAGAGTTTTCAAACAGGGAGGGAAAAAGTGAAAGGATTTTTATGAAAGTCATCTGGTTAAATTCTCTCCTCTTCCATTTCTGTCCAAGACAGTTTTGAAAACAAACCCTGAAGAGTTCCCGGCTTGCTGACCCCCTCCCTCAGTCCTCCTCCCCAATGGGGGCACAGCCGAGACAATTAAACCCCCATCTTCATTCTTGGGCACCACACTGTGCTGAAGCAGGAAAATAATACACTGCAAAACCAACTACCTATTGGCCAGCAGTTAACTGGTCTAAGCCCTAGTTGTCTGCAGGACTGAGTAACGACTAAAGGAGGTCACGTATATGGAGACACTCTTCGGATGGACTGGACAAATGTTACTCTTCTTTCTCTCAGAAAACGAGCCCAAATCTGCTCACGTCCTAGACTGTTTTGTTTTTCACCAAATAAGTAGATTCTGTTTTGTTTCGTTTTTTTAAAGATTTCATTTTTAAATAACCTCTACACCCAACGTGGGACTCAAACTTACAAACCCTGAGACCAAGAGTCTCACTCTCCACCGACCGAGCCAGCCAGGCACTCCCTAGATTTCTGTTTTCATAAACCGTATTATTTTACTTCCGCTCTTCCCTAAAGCAAATTGGAGATAAGGGAAGAAGGTAAGTTCTGCCTCTTTCTATAAGCCTGAACCAGTACAGAGTCTTGTCAATACTGGACTCCTCTGGACCTCAGGACATCTGGAGGTAAGTGCTTCAGACTGCTGCCAGAGCAACCTTCCTCCCCAGAGAGCTGATCTGGGGATCCAAATCTCTACTCTGGGAACCTACAAGAAAGCGAACCTAACCCATGTGCGGAGGTCACCACCGTGTCACCGCTCAGTAACCACTGAACAAACTTGCGAGTCCCTGCGGTTTTGTACTTACTGTGGTGGTGGAGGTGGGGGGTTGGTTAGGTGGCCCCACCATGCCTCCCCACCCTTCTTCCTCATCTTGATGACCCTCTTTCGCGCACCGGGTCATGTGGAAGGACTTGTGCTGCTTCCGTGGAGGAGCTGGGGGTGGGGGTGGGTGAGCAGCACCCTCACACAAAGCCTTGGGGAGAGACGGACTGGCTGGCCACTGCGGGTCATTCCTGTAGGAAGCCGTTCCTGTACCCTGCTTATCAGAATTGCCTTGAGGATAAGGCCAATTACTTCTGTGTATCCAGTAATTAAGAGCAGAAAACCCTCTGTGGAAAATTTCCTAACAGAAATCTACCCTCAGTTCTGAACTGGGTAGACTTTAAGTAAAGTGAGTTGGAAATGCATGAAAAGTCTCAGCTTATCTGCGGCTACACCATTTTTTGTGGAGCTCGACAGCTCAGGGGCTTGGGGGACTCCCCAGGGGACACTTCAGAAGAGCGACACATGCAAGAGCGACAAGAAGAAAACTTTTCCTAGTCTTTAAAGTTTTGAGTTGAAGTGGGTATTTTATGAACATTCGTGGTGTGAAGGGCAGGTGGGAACTGGGGAAAGAACACGGGGTGATTCAAAATGACAAAACAGAAATCTCAACCATCAAGATAGTTTCTTTTTCTACTAAGGAACCCTCTCTTTCGTTAACCCGAAGGGCCTAATTTAAGAAAACTCTGAAGAACTTGTTTACATATAAGCCTTCTCTGCGCGCGGCAGGGGTAAGGACACTGCAAAGGCTCTAAAAGCTTGCGCAAAGCTGGCCTTGAAATGATCCCTCTGATTTCAAACCTCTTAAATCATAACGGCTTAGCAGCATGAGTTTAATATGGACAAAAAATTTTGTTTTTCCCGCATTAACCCACACAAGGCGCGGACTTGTTTAAGAAAAAATTCCCTCAGGTACCATTCATCCTAGTTTCATTTAAGTCCGTGGAGGCAGAGTATTTCCACCCTGAGCTCCGTGAACCATGCTTCTCCTTTACAAGTTCACAAACCAGCCCCTCAGGGACTTGATGATCCCCACTGCTGCTCATGAGAGGGGCTGAGAGAGGGCCCAGGGACGTCCTTGGAGGTGCAGGGGTACGTCCAAGGATGAAGGGGACCCCGCAAGGAGTCACACATTCTGTCCTCACCACCGCCTGCCATTAACCCTGTCACGGCCACCTGGATTCATCTGATTTCTGTAATTCGGAACCAGAGGCTACAGTGTGGTTTTTTCCTTCAGCTGGGTGATGGCATAGGGCCAGAGGCCAGGTATCTAGCAGCATCAATAAAAGAATAAAGGGGGGGGGGTAAAAAAAGGAAGAAAACTATGTCCTCATTTACACCATTTGGTTAATACACACTAAAAGCACTTGGAGAAAACAATGAGCATAGTGAACCACCCAACTGAAAGAACACAGCTTTATACTGTTACAAATAATAAAAATAGGGGCGCCTGGGTGGTGCAGTCAGTTAAGCGTCCGACTTCAGCCAGGTCACGATCTCGCGGTCCGTGAGTTCGAGCCCCGCGTCGGGCTCTGGGCTGATGGCTCAGAGCCTGGGGCCTGTTTCCGATTCTGTGTCTCCCTCTCTCTCTGCCCCTCCCCCGTTCATGCTCTGTCTCTCTCTGTCCCAAAAATAAATAAACGTTGAAAAAAAAAAAATTTAAAAAAAAAAAAAAAAAAAAAGAAATAAAAATACCTCACCTTGTTTCCCAAGTACAAAGAGAGAAATCATTCTGAGACAGAGGATCCCACAGTCGCACACCCAGCTGGCAAACACGTGGGGTCTGGAGCTCCTTCCCCAACCACATTACAACATAAGCTTGACACATCTGTAAAACATCTTCCCTGCGGAAAGTTGGACCCTAAAGATCAAACCCGGGGAGGTGCCCTCTCCCTAGGCCAGCGCTCTAACTCATCCCCTCTGAAGACACTTGGTAAAAGCGACCCAGCTGACAGAAGCGGTGCTGCCTCAGCAATAAAGGGCTCTGCCAAGGGAGGACCAGGAGTCCAGCTTCTGAGAAACCATCCAGATAGGCGAGTGGGAAGGGAAGGGAAGGGTGCTGGGGGTGGGGGTGTGGGGGAGGGGGGGCCAGCATGAGAACCTGATGAGATGGAGGAAAGTATTACCTCGGCAATTACCATTTCAATTATAATCAGACTCCAACCTGACGTCACTGAGACTCCAAGAGCCACAGACACTGGGAAGGCAGTGCATCTCTTGAGTGCAATGACATTACTTAATCTTGGTTCTAGATTCCATTCTGCTTGGGAAACTGCAACAGCTTCTTTAATTGACCATGGCTTTCCATAAAAGTATCGGGTGGTGTGGCCAGGAAGACAGGACAAGCAGGCCCACCTCGTAAGGGATGGCCCTGAAGTCAGGACCTGTTGGCTACCCTCTCTGTGGCCAGGGAGCCAGCAGAGGGGATCACACCACACAAGTAAGGGAAGGCATTAGCCCTGTTTCCTGCCTGAGGGGCAGCCTCAAGGCTGCGGTTCCAGAAGGTGTGGAAGAGCCCAGTCTCTCACAGACAGGTACCGGCAAAATCCCGGGGCCAAGCAGGGAGGCTGGAAGAGTCGGGAGGGTCAGGCTCTGGCCATTGCCTCCAGCATACAGCTGGCTCATACACGCATGCATAGGGCAGATAACTAAGTAACCTTAGAAAGTGGTTTCCTTGTTTCTGTTTTTATTTCTCCCCTTTCGATCTGGTCTTCGGACCTCAAAGTTGTTCCTCTGTACAGTTCTTGTTTCCTATAGTTCTGAGAGGGTGGTTCCATCACAGATGACCAAAGGCTGGACCCCTCTGGCTGTAACGTAGACCTTCCAGTGGGTGGCACCGGCATAGCCTTGAAGGGAAACAGCAACAGGAAAGCAGGTGAATGGCAGGGACTGGGCACACCTGTGGGCACGAACAAGGCAGGTCTGCCTGGCATAAATATGCCGTTATTGGTCCTCTCTGTAACCGGATGTCCAATGGGAGCCACTACGAACCCAAGTGCTTCATCACCACCACTCACCTGGCTAACTATGACTCACAACTCAGTAGATTTACAAAAGCAAGATGCTCTAGATGAGGCTGGTGCTGGGCATCAATTCTCAGACCCATCTCATCTTTCTTGGCAAGAAGATACGATGAGTTCTGAGGGAAGGAGGACCCCCCCCATCCAAGTCTCCTAATGTTATCGGTCACATGGCCTCATTATAGAACATCCAGAATCGCTCAGACCAGCACTTCCTAAACTGTGTTCTGCAAATAGTAACATGCTGTTAGGATAGTCCAATGGGTTCCATGGTCAAGGAAGTTTGAGAAAGTTTGAGAAACACTAGGTTCCTCTAAGGCTTCTGGAGACTTCTGTACACTAATGTGCACTATGTAATCACAAGACAGGCAGTTCCCCAAATCAACTGATCCAACAGCCCTATTTGCCAAGGGCTTTTCTTTTTTTTTTTTAATTTTTTTTTTTTTAATGTTTATTTATTTTTGAGACAGAGAGAGACAGAGCATGAACAGGGGAGGAGCAGAGAGAGAGGGAGACACAGAATCTGAAACAGGCTCCAGGCTCTGAGCTGTCAGCACAGAGCCCGACGCGGGGCTTGAACTCACGGACCGTGAGATCATGACCGGAGCCGAAGTCGGACACTTAACCGACCAAGCCACCCAGGCGCCCCTGCCAAGGGCTTTTCTAAGGGGCTCCTGTTCCCATCCCTAGGGTCATCAGTGATCTGAAGAACTGTTTAGGAAACACTGACCCTACATTATTTGAGTGGAGTAGGAAGGTAGACTTAAAAGCTTTAAAAACTTGGAACACTTCAATAAACTCCTGATGGAAAATTATCTAGAGTGCGACATACCTTACCCATCATTAAATTGAGAGCACTGAACAGAATTTAACCTCTACTTAGTGACTCAAGAAAGGCCACTATGGGGGTGCATGAGTGGCTCGGTCGGTTAAGCGTCCGACTTCGGCTCAGATCATGGTCTTGCGGTCCGTGAGTTTGTGCCCCGCATCTGTGCTTGCTTTGGATTCTGTGTCTCCCTCTCTCTCTGCCCCTCCCTCGCTCACACGGTCTCTTTTTCTCAAAAATAAACATTAAAAAATTTTAAAAAAAGAAAGAAAGAAAGAAAGAAAGAAAGAAAGAAAGAAAGAAAGAAAGGCCACTATGGGCAGTGACTCATCAACCACGGCAGGTGGATGATGAAGCATTCTTGAAAATGCTTCTCGGGGCGCCTGGGTGGCGCAGTCGGTTAAGCGTCCGGCTTCAGCCAGGTCACGATCTTGCGGTCCGTGAGTTCGAGCCCCGCGTCGGGCTCTGGGCTGATGGCTCAGAGCCTGGAGCCTGTTTCTGATTCTGTGTCTCCCTCTCTCTCTGCCCCTCCCCCGTTCATGCTCTGTCTCTCTCTGTCCCAAAAATAAATAAACGTTGAAAGAAAAAAAAAAGAAATTAAAAAAAAAAAAAAAAAGAAAAGAAAATGCTTCTCATCACAGGTTTTCTGGTGATGTGTATTCCTGTCCCCTTCCTGTCTGCCTTCAGAGGACAATGCTTACTTCGGCAAAAACCATAGAACCTACTTGTCACAGTGCCATTCTTTAGGGCCCCCCAAAATGCTAGAGCTGCCAGCTGTCCTACAAGCACTGAATTATTCTCCTTTGCTGTCAGGGTCCACTTCCTGTGCTCATCTTTAACTGTGGCAGCCGCAGCCACCGCTTCTATTTCTGCCACTGCTTCAGAAGCTCACTGTCCTCCCCAGCCGGCCCTACCCTGTTCTTCTCCCAGACCTGCCCTCTCCCTCTTGTTGTAGTCAGTTCCCCATCCCTTCTCCACGTTGCTGTCCTGCGGCTGGCCTTTCATGCCCACAGGGCTCCTTTCCTTCTCGTCAGCAAGCCGGCCAGTCACAGCCTGGCAGGTTATCATGCTCCGGATTTTCGGCTTTTCATTGCTATTCCCACCAGCCTTTGATGCTCAAAGCTTCTTTGATCACTGCCAGCCATCCATTTATTCCCCCCAATTCTTTAATTGGCATTCTAGAGGTTTGTGGGATCCAGGAACCTAAAATTTGGATTACTAAGGTGTTTCTGTAGTTGTCTGAACTGTCTGGCATTTGTAGAACATAAGACAGAGACTTTTTCAAGCATAACTACGCACTCTCAAGCCCAAATGCCATCCATACAGGCTTGTGCAATAGACATGCCTCATGGAAGGGTCACTCCGCTACGGGAAAATAGCTTCAAAAACAATTTCTACACAAAAATCCTCTTCTTTGCAGTAATTCCCAGGGGCCAGGCCAGCTGTGCTCCATTATCAGTTAACGCTTAATTTGTGCATGATTTTCATTTCTACATTGAAATAAGTTATGTAACATGGATTAAAGCATGTCATGGTTTGCAGTCTGTATCCTACTTCCAAATGGGTGAAAGGTTTCCAGGGACTGGGGTCTTCTAAAGAGGTAAAATTAAAAGAAATCAATTGGAAAACCAGTCTGGGCTCTGTCAGGGACCCTAGGCTTCCCCCTAGGCTTTGTGAGGCAGGAAAAACACAGAGGGCAATAGTGATACTATCTGCTTCCGCCAAGAAAACTCTACTGTCAAACTGATTGCTACGGACAGCAGTTGATTCAAACTTGTTTCTTTGGAAAGGATTTTTAGAATATAATGCACAGAATAAGCCACAGTTGGGAAATCATGGAGCCAACGGTGAGTCATGACTGTGAGGCTATGACTTGGCAGTGGGACCCACACGGAAGGGAATATTTCCCCATGGGATCATTGCCCTTACATACTGCTCGCACTGCGTTATTAGCAAAAGAGATACAGAGAGGGTTTCCTCAAATCTAGAATTGTACCTCCCCTGGCCTGCTGCTGGTGAAGGAGACACTTAAAGCTTGATGCTTTGCCTAGGTGATGGGAGGAACTTGGGATGGTCACCTCTCCTCTCTGGGTCTCAATCTCTCCTCATCTGTAAAATAAAGGATTGCTCTAAAGATTTGCTTCTTTTTTTTTTAATGTTTATTTTTGAGAGAGCATGAGTGGAAGAGGGGCAGAGAGAGAGGGAGACAGAGGGTCTGAAGGGGGCTCTGCACTCTCGGCAGGGCTCGAACTCACGAACCGTGAGATCATGACCTGAGCTGCAGTTGGACGCTCAACCGACCGAGTCACCCAGGTGCCCTTAAACATTTTCTATAATGCCTTCTAACTTGAAGTTTCTAAGACCAGTGGAACACATCGCATATTCTAAATATATATAAAACGAGGCCCTTCTCTGCTACATTTCCTTATTAGTTGTTCTACCGAGCATAAATACTGACTCTGTCCATAAAGGAATGCTCTTTTTGACTCTATTTAATTGAAGCTTTCTGAAGGCAATATTTAATTCTTAGAATATTTTCTGAGTTAAAAACTACAAAGATCCTGAAACTGACCTTGCCCCCTGGGGGCCCCACCTACCAATATCCCCCGGCTCTAGCGGCATCGCCACGGACTGGCAGTGTCTTCGGCACTGGGAGGGAGGGATGAGCTGCAACATGGCCTCGCCGCTGCCAATGATAAATAGGTCATGCATTCTATGCATCTGGAGAGGGAAAAAAAAAAAAAAAAAACAAGGAAGAAGAGGAAGGAAAAGGAAACAAAATAAAACCCAGTGGCACGGGAGATGAACGTACACAAATCTGTCTATATATGGCTCTGAGTTTCATACCAGCCTAAGCAACAAAGAAAACAGAACCGATAACACAATTCGCGATTATGTCCGACAGACAAAAACAAATGAGTTTCTCCTAAGCATGGCATCTCCTGATCTTGAGACCAGGGTGAAATCTCTTCTGTGGGTTCTCCTAAAGAGACATCCTCAACAAATAGCCCGAATGTAGATCTAGCACGAGCTTCGTAATTCATGACTACTTCTAGCCACAGCTCCAAAGTAGGCTAAAGGCAAATCATCTCAGTGCAATTTAACAGAAGTCTAGCAGAGGCCAACACATAGTGGTCTAAGTATACAATCTTCTGAGGGTCTGATGTGAGCCAGATTTTTATTTTTTTTATTCTTCTAATATTTATTTATTTTTGAGAGAGACACAGAGTGTGAGTGGGGGAGGGGCAGAGACAGAAGGGGGACACAGAATCCGAAGCAGGCTCCAGGCCCCAAGCTGTCAGCACAGAGCCCGACGCGGGGCTCGAACTCACGAACCGTGAGACCATGACCTGAGGTGAAGTTGGACGCTTAACCAACTGAGCCACCCAGGTACTCCAGCCGGACTTTTTTAGAGAAACAGACGGTCTGCATATCCTTTGGGCAACGTAGTATCATTTCTAGGATATTATTTCTTACTGCCAGAGTTTTGATGAGAATTGAACAGCAGGAAGTTCAAGTTCACTCTTTCAGGCAAGACCTAGGCGAGCAGATCTATCCTGCTACTGACTAAAAAGTAGTGACAGTAAGATTGGCCTCAGAGTTTGAATACCAAGGAGACAACTGGGCTATGCACGCCCACAGGTAACTACTGCACCGTGAGGGATACCACTGCCTCCAATAGGCATTAAGGGCAACCTGCTGTGTGCCAGGAACAGCTGCGAAGGTGGCGCTGGGGTAGGCAGGGAGTAGGGACAAAGGGAGAAGCTGACCTTGCTCAGGCTCCTCTTCCTACCTAGATGGTGAGAGAAAACCTTCAGGACCTCCCCTCCCTGTCCCCTCCAGGAACAGCCTTTCTGTGTCCGCATAGCGCAAGGGTCCGAAGTCTGACTCCCTGGGCCGTGTCCTGATTTTCTCTTCACCACTTGGGCTTCCAGAGGTTTGGTTTTAGCTCCATCTTCTTGTGTCTCCAACCCTGGGCTCTCTGTTGCTCTCAGAGCAGGCCGTGGCCACGACTCCGTTTCCATGGCAACACTAGAGCCATTCAACTGCCACTGTCATGACAGAAGGAAGACTAACTAAGGAGGACTACTGGCTTGCAAATGACTGGCAGAAGCCCTGACATCTGCGGTCTTGAAGAAATTCCAGAAGACCAAAACCAAGTGGATGTATCTCTTTTTCATACAGGCCCGAGAGGGGGCAGAACCAGGTTCCTCCCCACCCAGGATGGGAAGAAATGGACACCAGGATGGAGCAGGCCAGCCCTGGGCAACACCGTGGACTGGGTGAGGTGGGCCTTGGAGCCCTTCACCTCTTTCCCCAGTGCCTCGCCTCTTGCAATCAGACCCCACTTCTCATCTTCTATTCCAAGGTTGCCTCTGGGATCCCAGGTGCACAGACATGTGACTTTACCAGGGTCTAGGGGCCCAGGGATGTGGACAACAGGGCGGAGTAACAAGGCTGAAGAAAAAGGAAAGCCTGGGCCAGGGCGGGGAGCAGATGCTCTAAGAAACCAGACTCTCAGGATTTTTGCCTATTTGGACCACTCCCCTTCCCAAAACATGCTTGCGAACCACAAGATGACTCTGATAGGCGTCTGAGTAACTTAGTATTTACCCTGTTGGCGGGGTTCCTCGGAGTCCCTGTTAAGCAGACTGGTGAAATTAACTTCAGATTCAAGTGGGAAAACCAAGATAAAGATAAAAGCTTTCGCCCCAAATTGTATCATAATTATGAAGATGAAATCATACTGGGGCCCGGAGTTCTAGCTGGGGACAGCAGAATAAACGTCTTTAAAATCTGAGGCAAGATCCCAGCACCTCCACCCTACTGCTGGCAGACAGAAGTTCTCACTCCTAGACAAAATGATTGTTTTTATAGGCTTTGAAATTCCTTTAACACGATTCAGCAAATCTGGAGCCAAACAATAGTATTGGGAGGTTGAAAACACAACCCGGAGTTGGTAGGGGTCACAGTTTGGGAAATTTCATCCTTTTAATTCTTCCAAACCAATCCAAACTCAAAAACGGTCCTCAGGAATGAGACTCAACAAAAGGGCAATTCAGAGAAAAGTAAACAGACACAACTCAGAACGGCTTTTACCCAGTCCACTCGCCCCAGGGGGGTAAAAGTGGGCTCTGGGTACTTGGCCATGGACTGAGCAAGAAGTGTTGCCACCCAAACTAGTCTGCCTGCCTTGGGCACGTGCCCATCAACCCTTTTGTCCCCAAACCTCTCAAGCTTTCTGCTTAGCTAGTTCTCTACCCGAAGTTTCTTATTTGTTTATTTCTGGGGAAAGCCAACCTGGGAATTGGGTGGGTAGAGCCCTCCTATTAACTTCCTGTGTCCTTGGGCAAATCATTTACTCTCTCTGGGGCTCAGTGTCCCTAGCTACAAAATGAGTAAGTTGGGGCGTTCATTTACGGTTTGCCTGCTTTACACTTTGAGGTAGGGAACTCAGACTAACTGCATGCTTGGGTCCTTTCAAATTTTAGGATTCTACCTCCTAATGTAGAAAAGTAGCTTGCCCCCAAGTGTCTAGAGCAGGAAACAGATCTGCAAGGTAACTAGACTTTAAGCATGCCTTCATAACAGGGCAGGCCACACCAGGTCCCCTGGCAAGCAACAGGCAGAGAACTTCAGGTCATGTGGATGTCCCTTCAAGTCACCCTGAGTTGACACGTAGGGAAGGAAGGGATTATGACATCAGCCCCGGGGCTAAGTGAGGAAAAGCCTCGACCCACCCAAGTCCTCTCAAAATGTCCTACCTTACTACCCACAATAGGTTCCGGTTGAAGAAGGAAGCACTTTTTTATGGAGGCATCTTTTGGAAACGGCAGGTAGGTGAAAACAGGAAAAAGCTCACGTAAAATGTGTGATCTGTTTAGAGGTCTTCTCCTGTGAAAGTTTGGAAGAGACAGAAGTAATTCAGCTGGGCAAGCCGGCCTCGATCTCCATGACTACCAGAGCTAAGCACGGTGGGAAAACTGTGGGCGGTGGGTAACGAGGGAAAAATATCAGGACAATATCTTAAGTATCAGGTTCATGAGGAACAGTCATGCCAAATCAATTAACTGTGACATGCACAAGCACACACACAACTCCACAGCCACGATTTGTACGTGTGGGTGGGATGTTTATAAAATCCAGCTAAAACAACATATAGAGGAAGGAAATAAACGGTCCATTCATTCTATCTTGGAAAAGAGACTGAAGTAACAGGCCAGGCGGGAGAACAGAAGGGAGGAGGAACGGGCAAAAATCATGAACCTAAGGCGCTGTGGCATGCGGTGGGAAGCCTGACTAGTTAAAGTGAGTATTCAATCATGCAAATCAATGCATAAGTAAGAAATCAAATAAAGGTTTAAGAAAGACAAAAGCATTGAGAAATTATCTAACAAAAAGGTCCAAAAAAAGCCATTTTAATTCTCTTTTGGAATGGTTCTAGATGGAAACTGGCTTTCTTTTCTTCTAGACAGAAACCTTCACCCCAAAAAACAGACCATGTCTTCTATAGGACACAGGAAGAGATGGGAAGACAGACCTGCATTTCAATCCTGCCTGGGTGACCTTAAGCAAGGTACTTAACCTCTCTGATCCCCACTTTTCTGATCTGAAAATGACAATGATAATTCCTACTTCCTAGAGCTATTATGAGCATCACCAATGAGCAACAGGCACTAACCACCATGCCACACTGCCTGGCACAAACAAGGTGCCAGGAAATGAAGCTTCCCTTCCATTCTTCAGGCTTTCTCGTTAGCCCTCCGATGCTCAGGAGGCATTCTGCGTAAAAACGTGCGCAGAGATAATCTGTGATGCTATTAGGCAATGTCAGTGTCCACTCATGGCGACAGCCCTTCCAAGGCACCTCTTCGACTTCATCCTCTTTATCTCCCATCACTGGTTTTTCAACAGTGAGCTCCTGAGTATTGTCTGACTCAAAGAGGGTACTGGAGAGTGTTCACACAGTGCGGGGCATGGGAGGGTCTCAGGGGTACTGTTTGGACCTTCGGTCTGCCCCCTTGCCACCACACACAGACTAAGTGCCCTTTCCCGCACTCACCATGGATAAGGAAATGGGAGCCACCGCTCAGGAAGGCAGCGCCACCACTTGGTGAAAAGCCCTTCGGGGAAGCCCTCCGCCACCTCAGGGTACTGGCACAAAAAATGCTGAAGCTCCTCTGGCAGCAAGAGCTGGCCCGTCTTGCAAGGCGGACAAGAGCGAGACAAAATAACACAGAATTACTTATCAGGAATGTCACAGAGCTTGCTGCCTTCTGGGCATCGAACAGATCATCTGTCAGGGGGAGAAGCGCGTTCCTTGCTCACCTTGATCACCAGAGGATGGAGTCTCTCAAATTTCTTTGGGGTGTCTTCCAGGAGCATCACCTTGAGGGGTAATTTCTGAGCACAGCCACTGCAGTTGGCAGGGATGGGGTCCGACTCATTCTGCTCACAACTGTTTGCCCACCAAGAGTCAAAGTCTGCGACAGGAAGGGAAGTGGAGAAGGCAGATACAGGAAGAACACAGCGGGTAAATCTAGTAGCCTCAGCAGTGAAAGCAAAAAGGAGAGATATAATAGTAATTTTTAAAAGCTAACAATGATAAGCACTGGTGACCTCTGAAAAGATACATATGAAGTAGGTAGCCTTTGAGGAAGGGGCAGAGGGCACAGGGGATGGGGTAGGAAGGAGAGGTTATGTTCTTCTTTATAATCTTCTATACTTTACAGAAAATATTTTTTTAACACGTATATGTATCTCCTAAGTCAAAGCAGCAACGTCGACCAGTTGGTATATTCAGTGACGTGGGGCTGGAGAGGTAAATCTTCCACTGTTTTCTAACCCGTGACCCAAGCGTCTGAAAGTCTACAGCACTTGGGGGAGGGGCCGGCAAAGGTCCCATCATCAGTGATGAGCCCCACTGCGTGTCTTCTCCAAGTGGAGGCCAGGATGACTCTGGGAAAGGGAGAACAAGAAAAGGGTGCAGAGAGAAGGGATGGAGAGGAGACGGGACATTTCAGGGGCCCATCTCTGGAGCGAAGTGAGTTGCATGTGCCCATCAGACAGTGCTCTGTCCCGGCTCAGAAGTGGGTAAGGGCTACTAACCATGGTTTCTACCCCTCCAAGGGCTGCAGGTTGGTCAGCAAGGGAAGAAGGGCCCACCAGCCCCTGATGTGAGTGCTAGTTGCCTGCCCACCCCCTATCCCTGGCTGGTCCTCCTCTGAAGGGTTGACTCCCTCTCTACACATCCCTTCTCAGTTTCCCTCTCCTCCTCCTCCCTCCCTCTGACACTGTTCTGTTGATAGTGTTATTGCATTATTTCTTGTTTGTGTTCTGTTCCACTCTGGGTTTCATCTGTGTTCTTGGAGATTGTTCTTATGATAAACTCTAATTTGGATCCAAAATGCTTTCACCAGATGGTTTCTGATTAAAACCCAATGGAAACCGAATCGGGAGAAAGCCTAGAACAAAAGATAAACAGACCACCAAATGGGGCTGAAATGAAATCGATTCTCTGAACCAATAAACACACTTGGAAAATGACTCTTAACCAGAAAACATTTGCTGTGGCCGGCAGCAAGGGCTTTTTCCATGTTTTCTTAAGGCAGTAGTAGCAGGGCGGAGGAAATCTCCACCAGGGAAGGACTGTGTTTGTTCTCAGCACGTCTCCTGAGGACCCTCCAAACACCCTCCATCTCCTGCAGACAGATCCTGTGTTCCTTGAGGAGGCTGTCACCTCCCCTCCTCACCTGCCTTAATTGTGGACAGACTGTCACAGCCAGGAGACAATGCTGCACCCTTAAGCCTGCCAGGGGCCTCCAAGGACACCCGGGAACCCTTCAATGGCACCTGTTTTGGTGGCACACTGAGGCTGCAAAGTTATCCTTATTTTTCCTTCTGGAATATTTTCAAATGTTCCTGATTAGAGGTCAAATATGAATTCCTGCCTAAATACAAGAACTTTGGGTAATGGACATACAGTGAGGCATAAATAATCTAAACATGTTATAATTATACAGCATTTCAGTTTACAAAATCCTCACGAGGGAGAGGGAAGGAAGGGGAAAGTGGAAAGTGCCAGGCCCGGTGCTGGTCACCATCGCGTGCTGTATCATCTACCTGTTGCCGTAGAATTACTGGGGAGGCAGCGCTCTTCTCCCTTTACAGATGAGCAAACAGAGAGTGACAGGAGACAGGCGCTAACCATGAGTTGCCATCTGGGGAAGAGCACAGAGGGGGTGGCGGAGGAAACGAGAAAAGTAGCTGCGGAGGAAGGCCGTGATGCGGGCTTCCAGGGCATGAAGCACATCTGACTCTGAGCAAAACAAGGAACCATCAAAGGCCTCAGGCAGGGGTTTCCTGATGCTTCAGGAAGGTTATTCTGGATTGTGACTAGAGTGGGAAGAGAGAGGCTGGGAAGAGGACGACTGGGTTTTACTTTGTTTTTGTCTTTTTGGCGGTGGGGGGGTGGCGGAACTTGTCCTGTGATGAGAGGTGAAATATAATGAGGTAAACTGAGGCAGCAAAGACAAAATCTACAGAGCTAAGCAGCACTGCAAAGGGGCACCTGGGTGGCTCAGTCAGTTAAGCGTCTAACTTTAGCTCAGGTCATGATCTTGCGGTTTGTGAGTTCAAGCCCTGCGTCGGGCTCTGTGCTGACAGCTCAGAGCCTGGAGCCTGCTTTGGATTCTGTCTCCCTCTCTCTCTGTCCCTCACCTGCTCGCACGGTCTCTGTCTCTCTCAATAAACGTTTTTATTAAAAATAAAATAAAATAAGATAAAATAAATAAAATAAAAAATAAAAATAAAAATAAAATAAAATATAAGCAGTGCTACAAGAATGCCTCTGCAGCCAAGACTGCCTGAATGCACCTCGTCTAAGAGAGCCCGGACACAGGAGACGCCAGACACCTGCAGATTCATTATGACATTTTTCTGCGGTCATGCGTCATATTCAGACGGAATCAGTTAGGTATGGCAATCTCCCCAGGAGATAAGAGTCATGTGTCAGGAGAAAGGGGGCATCTTCTCTCAATTTATAAAGGTGTCTCAAGAGCTAGCAGTGAGCAGTTCTGAACCTAAGAGCACAGACACATTATTTTAACTGTAACTTAGTTAATTTCAGTTTTATTCTGAACTTTAGATATTCTTGGGATGTCCAGGTAGAGATGCTTTCAGAAGCAGGTGGAAGAAGAAAACCCTGGGAAGGAAAATCAGGAAAGAAAAAGAAAGAATAGGGTACTAAAAAGTGGACTCAATAAGGTGGCAGAATATAAGACATTCACATCCAGACACAGGAACATCAATTACTTCTTACTCTCCTGGCCACAGTCATTTAAAAATTGGAACGGAAAATGGCCTCTTTCACAACCAGCAATAAATTTAACAAGAAGGGCATAACATAAGACCTGAATAAATAAACATATCATACCGCGATCTTGGGCAGGAAGGCTAAATACTACAAAGACGCCAAGTCTACCCAAAAGTATATTCAGTAGAACTTGGATAGGTTCCCACCAGAGTTTGCTTCTGATGAAGGTAGGAGTAGGGTGAGGCTGTGACAATCTCATTCTGAAGTTCATCTACAAGAGTAAATGTATAAGAACAGGCAATAATCCATCCCCTGCCCCAAGTAACTCTGGAAATAATTTAAGGGCCAGAAGGCATTCTAGGTAATACAAATGAATTACAAAGTATGGTCACTGCTTAAAATCTATAGAGGACACCCCCCACAGGCACAGATACCATTAAAGAATACATTAAGAGGGTGCCTGGATGGCTCAGTCTGTGTTAAGCATCTGACTTCAGGTGGATCTCGCAGTCCGTGGGTTCAGGCCCCGCATCGGGCTCCATGCTGACAGTTCGGAGCCTGGAGCCTGCTTTGGATTCTGTGTCCACCTCTCTCTCTGCCCCTCCCCAGCTTACCCTCTGTCTCTGTCTCTCAAAAATGAATAAAATTAAAAAAAAAATTAAAAAAAAAGAATACATTAAGAGCCTCATATGATACACCTCAGGCAGATGGTGGACCTGAGGACCCTCACCCCTCACTGCTCATGAGTCACTGGATGGCTCGAGCCTCTCTCCATGCTGGGCATAAAGAGGGCAAGACTGGAGGGAAAGAGCATTATTTTATTTCTCCATGTAGATAAAACATTAAAATAAAAAAAAAAAGGTGCCTGGGTGGCTCAGTCGGTTGAGCAACCGACTTTGGCTCAGGTCATTATCTCACAGTTTGTGAGTTCGAGCCCCGCATCGGGCTCTGTGCTGACAGCTCGGAGCCTGGAGCCTGCTTCAGATTCTGTGTGTCCTCCTCTCTCTGCCCCTCCCCCACTCGTGCTCTGTCTCTGTCTCAGAAATAAATAAACATTAAAAAAATAAAAAAATAAAAAAACCAGCTTTATTGAGGTTTAATTCCCAGACCATAAAATTCATTCATTTAAAGTGTACAATTCATTGGCTTTTAGTATATTCACACAGTTGAATAACGATCACCATTATCTAATTATAAAACATTTTTATTACCCTAAAAAGAAACCCCATGCCTATTAGTAGACACTTCCCATTCTAACCCCTCTGCCGCCAGCACTAGGCAACTACTCATCTTTTAGTGTCCGTGCATTTGCAGATCCTGATATCTCAAATAAATGGAATTGTACAATATAGGGTCTTTTTTGTCTGGCTTCTTTAATTTAGCATGTTTTCTGGGTTCATCCATGTTACAGTGCATACCAAATGTTCTTTCCTTTCTATTGTCAGGTAATATTCCATTACGTGGATATACTACATTTTGCTTATTCATTCATATGTTGCTGGACATTTCTACTTTGGGGCTACTACGGACAATGCTTCTATGAATATTTGCATACAAGTTTTTGTGTGGACATGTGTTTCCAATTCTTCTGTGTACACACCTAGGAGTGGAATTACTAGGTCACTTAATAACTCTGTGTTGAATTTTCCAAGGAACTGCCAAACTTTTCCAAAGCAGCTGCACTAGTTTACATTCCCATTATCTGCATATCTTTTTTTTGGAGAAATGTCTACTCAAATCTTTTGCCCATTTTCAACTGGCTTATTCGTCTAATATCGTACGGTAAGAGTTGTAGACAATAAAGTCTTGAATAAGAAGAAAATGAGGAACTTGCGCTACTAAGTATAAAAACGTATAGCAGCATTCTATAAAGCTACTGTAATTCAGAAAGTACCGTCAATCCTCATTATTTACAGACTCTGATCTGTGAACCTGCTTACTCTCTGAAATTTATTTGTAACCCCAATCAATTCTTGTGGTGATGCAGAGGGGCGAACTCTAGCTGAGGTGGAAGGAGACAACACTCTACCTTTTTGCTTCACCTTCGAACTGTAAACGAGTGTCCTTTTGGCTACTTGGTGCCACGGTTTTCGCATTCTTATTGTGGTTTTGCAGTTCAGAATGGCTCCCAAGGATGCTGTTTGTGGGGACGGGGTATATGGGAACTCT